GAAACTTGGTCATTGCAAAACCCGGCATTGTGCGTGATGTGCAAATTCATAATGATTACGCGGATGACGTGGTAATTTTATGTGACAACCCTTCAACGCCGCTCATGCGTGGGCTCGTTCTGGGAGGTTCCAGTGGAATCGGGCCAACCAAGTCTGCCATAATGATTTTTGGCCAACATTTTTTCTAGGTGAGCAAGCTTTGCCCGAGTGAAGCAGTACACTTGCTTAGGGGTGTCTCTCATTGAGCGCCGATCTTGGAAAAATCATGTTGATCACTTACTTGGAATGCAAAATGGCAGCTTGTTTGTTCTGGACGGGTCGTTTGTGAAGCGCCTATTTCAAACGTATATCCATCCATCTATCTGTTTTCGGACTGGCATTTGTGACAGCTAGCCCGCAGCTAGCACGCTTCCAGACGCGTCTTCTGCAATGGGGCCGACGCGTGCGCGGATGGCATCGTGGTTCGCCTAGTCTTGCTGTGCAAGGTCAACTTGCCTGGCATGATGCTTGTACCACGCGACTCATCCTTGCGGCCGGGTTGCGGGCTCGACTTCTCAGTCTGCCGCGTGGGCGTTTTGCAGGTCATCTTGCTTACGCTGCTAGCAAGCATCCGCAATCATGGGTGTCTCCCCCTGGCACATGAATTGGCGTGTGTGGGGGCCCCCCATCCCCATGACTGGGGTGTGTGTACCGGGTGCCCATCAAGGTTAGTTAAACGTTGGGTGGACCATGTGGCGATCTTGGTTGATCGGTTCCGCGCAAGTTGTCTCAGAGCTGCAAGCCGCTGAGAAAGCGTACCTCAGTATCTGCAATGGCAACCGCGACCACGTTTGCATCCTGTTGGTTATGGCGACAGTTCAAGTGCTCATGATGTTAACTTTTGGGGCCTTGCCCGCTGTGCCTGCGCGCCGCTGCCATGCTGGGAAGCCTGCCCAGGCTGGCGAGAAATCCTCCGAGGAGCCCGCCCGGCTCCTGGCCAAATGGCTCGCACACTTGCAACCAACATCAACCAACATTTCCGCGACAGTATGATGCTGCCGGCTACGCCGCCGGATACCCGGGCGCTGGTGCGGTCCCATTCGGGGCCTCATGCAGGGTTCGGGCTCACCGCCATGCCAGCCGAGCCAGCCACGACGCTTGCGCCCCAGGCTATGCAAATCGCGCCGCGCCGCCGCCTGCGCGCTGCGCCGCCACCTGCGCGTGCCACTCCCCCTCTGCCATGGCAGATGCGGCGCGGCACCCGGCGACCACACACTCGCTTGCCCGCGAACCGGCTTGCTCGCCCGACGCGCCAACGTCGTCGAACGAGTGTGGGTCCGCCTCGCGCGCGAGGCCGTCGGTGCCGAAGGGCAGGTGATGCCACAACAATGGCTCGTGCACACCACGGCGCCCGGAGTGCGCGCGGATGACCGACGCCGCCTAGATGTGGCCATCTACGGGGCGACGTCTAACGGCTCCGCGCTGTGCGGCGATGCGACGCTGGTATCGCTGCACGGCCGACGTGGACGGCGCCGCCCTGCGGACAGCGGAACGACGCAAGGCGGCCACCTTCCGGAGCTTAGGCGCCAAGGGCCGCAGAAGCTCCTGGTGCTTGGCAGTGAGGTTGCACGACCTCGTAGCCCGTAGGACCCACTGACCGGACACAAGGTGGGCAGGCGTGTAGCAAATCAAACAAAAAACAAAAAATACTATGAAAGCAGCCTTCAACACATCCGGGCAGCCTACAGCGGACCGCCTGATGACCGTTTCCGCGCACGCGCGTGGAAGCTGTTCCTGCTTACACCTCGCATGCTCCTTGCACGGCCGGCCGAGCAGGGCAGTGATGGACGCCGCATCCTTCTGATGCGACTCCAGCATTACGAACAAGGCCAGTGGCCCGCGTTCCGTGCAGCTGCGCGCGCTACGCGAGCCTCGCCCCGGCCGGCAGCCGATCTCGACGCAGAAGCGGTCGCCGAGCGACGGCGAGAAGCGGCTTGCGCACGTACACGCAAAGGCAAGCTCGCGCGCGCCCGCCAACCGTAGACCTCAGCCGAACTCGCGCCTGGCGATGAGGCGCCCCGGGCAGCTTTGACTGACCCAGCCAAACGGCCGCCGCAGCCACGCTAGCCCATCCCGGAAAGGGTGTTGCAGTTCCAACCGCCGACGCCCGTGCGCCTGACTTCCACAGCGGTCGCTCGCAGCCTTCGCGAAGCCAAGCGGGGCAGTCGCCTCGTTCGCATCCTTCCGCCTGGCGTATGCCATGGCGGACCCCGTCGTCGTCCCACAACTGGTGCCCGGATGCCTGGCCGTAAAAAACGCGTGCGAAAAGCACAAGGGCGGGCGCCACCTCGCACAGTTTGCGCAAAAACGCGGCACGGGAAATGCAGTCGTACGCACTGCGCCCGTCCAGCGAGACGACACTGGCGCGAGCATCGTTTTTGAGGGTTGCACGGAGTCGGGCCGACAGCGCATCCACTCCTGCTCGGGTGCGGAGCGCAAACTGGTATGGTCTCATGGCCTGGTCGAACACTGGCGCCCACATGGCGGCCAGTCCCAGTGTATGTGCCGAATCACGGCATGCGGCTAGCAAGGGTCGGCGACAGACGAATCGGCAACGGGGCGACAGACGAGTCGGCAAAGGACGTCGCTGACGAGGGGCAGCTCGCGGTCGAGATTGTAGGTGCCAGCCCGGGGCATGGAGAGGATGCTGGCGGCGAAGGCCTGGGCAGCCGCGAATGACAGCACGGCGGACCACCGCAGCGCGGAGGGCGGACGTGTCCTTGGCAATGGCATGGTTCGGGCCCTGCAGCGGGCGGCGAATCGGGCGAGCTTTCTGACAAAGCTGGCAGCATCTTGGCTCCTGCGGCCACCCACTTCATGCCGAGGACTGTGAGCGGCGTGACCGCACCAGTTCCGTGCGCTCACGGGCCCTGCGTGCTGAACGTGGACTCCGCCCCAGAGGGGAGCCCGTTGGCGCGAGCCTGAAAACCCGTTCATCGTTGGAGAGTGGAGTGAGTGGCGTGAGTGGACAACCATCCGGGTTGGGCCGTCCGCAAGGCAGCGAGGCGCAAACGACGCAGACGTGCCCCAAGCTCGATCGGGGGCGACGCTGTCGCCTTGTCGTTTTCGGGCTCGGCTGCCACCTTGTCCGCCTCCTTGCCCGGCCAAGCGCAGCAAGCGCCCCTGCCGATCCACTGGTCCGCCCAAGGCATGGGCTCTCCGATGGAGCGGCCGCATTTCCGTTGCGGCGCAACTTGCGCTCGCTGCCACCTTGTTGGAGCTCCCCCTCCCGTCAGAGCTTGGTGCTGCCGCACGTGGCCTGCCCCCAGCCCTACACGAGCTCCTTGCAGACGCTCGCTGGCAGCAGGCTCCTCAACCGAGGCGCCTCCGAGCGTGCCCGCCACGGTAGTCTGCAGTTAACACCGGGAAATGCGACTTGCAGTGGCACAAAAGTGCGAAGGAGAAACAAAAGAGGGAAGTGAGTGGAAGTGAGTGGAGTGAGTGGGAGGCCGCGCCTTCGCGACGGCAAAATGCTTCCAAATCAAGAGCCAAGGTGCGCGCCGCGGATGCGCATCGCACGCCACCGTAACTCTCGAGCAGCGCAGCCTGCGTAGCCGCGGGTATGTAACCGTCGGGCCCAGCGCACAACGGGAGCGCGCACGGCATCGTCCAAGGTGCGGTTGACATCCGCGCTTGGGGGGTGGCCTAAACCCGAGTGTGGAGCATCTAGCTCTTGTCTGCTGCGACTATTGAAGCCCATTGCTCACCGGCATCCGGCGCGAGGCCCACCAAGCTGACGCGGCGGCTGCGGTCAACTGTCCCGCGGCAGGGTGCAGTAGCGGGATGTGCAACCAAGAACATGGTTCACCAACCGCCAGCTATGGTGGAGCTGCTGGCTCGTCGGGCGAGCCTGGCGCGGCATTCGTTCCGGACCGTCGGCGCAGCCGCACCTAGCAGGACGTCGGGGGCATCCTCTCCGCCGCCTCTGGGCGACGCGAAAGCGTTTCGACTGCCGACGCCTCCCGCGAGGCTTCGAGCGAGTTCCTGCGAATCGTCAGCCGCCAACGCCCCCAGAGTTTCGAGCGACACGGAGCACACGTCACAGCATAGCGCAAACCGCCGGACAGAGCCTTGGGCACTGGTTCTCTCCAACGACTCCAACATGCACCCCGGTCCGGCGCGCATCATGGAATCCTCCCGAGGGCCTCAAGAAGCCCAGAAGAGGCCTGCAATACAGGGCCTCATGGCCCAGCGCTTGGCTTAGGGATGTTGAGCGAACTCCGGGCATGTCAATCAATGTATTAATGTATTGATTGTGTCTTCCTTGCCATCCAGCCCGTTGAACTTCACTACCACGACGCCACGATGCCGCAACAGACTGCGAAAACTATGAACACTTAGCACCCAACTTATCGTATGCACCGTATGGCCATACCAGAATCTTGACAGATTTCGGACAACGACGACAGTGAAGCAGGGAACCCTGACCCTGCAAATCGTGTACAAACATGATCAGACATGTGTAGAAGATTTTGTGGGCGGTATCGACACGCAGCTCTGCAGGAGACATATGGAATTTGCTTCTGAAAAGAAACAAATTTCACAAAGCACCCGTTTCTGTTTAACGAAGCTCAGTGTCAGCTGCCCGCGCTCTACGGGAGGAGGACATTGGCTCCCATCTCTCCCATGCTTAGCGCTTTGCACTGAAACGCCGACTCTACCACCTCTACCCATGCTGCCCATGGGCTGGAAAACCACTCAATTTCCGTGGCTCGAGATTCGGACTGCAGGAGAGCGGGGAGGCAAAGGGAGAGAGGCTACACACGTGTTAGGGTGCCAATCAGTATCAGGCGAGAGAGGGGGGAAACACTGGCTCTCCTGCAGTCTGCTGCCTCACCTAGCTACTTCGGCGTCCGAATGAAGTTGCAGATCAGATCTGCAACTTGTCCATAAAATAAGCGAGAGCTGGAACTTTGTCCAGGAACGATCAGAATCATTCGGCTGGAAGAATACCCATCCGCTCATGGCTCGCATGTCCGCGATGCCTGGGACTTCTGCTCTGCAGACAAGTGCGGCTGGATCTTGACTGAAGGATGTTCCAAACCTCGTGCATCCAAGGCCGTGACAGGTTTGGTCCAGCACAACGCGAGCCTCAGTAGACAGCTGGGTTTGCAAGTCCCTTGCGGCGGTTCTGACATGTGCAACTGTACTCGTGTATACACAGCACTCCTGCCTCAGCCGTCCAGAGCTGGAAGTAAACTTTGCCGGTGAGCCAGGCAAGGAAAGCACCGAGGCCTCAAACAAGACAAGCAACCGCAAGACAGCTCCAACTTAGATTTGCTCTTCTGATGTGGGATCTACCCGAGCCTCGGGGAGCCATTTTTGGAGTTCGAAGGTCTCAGACCGCATCTGCGGCCCACCTGGAGAGGTCGTGGCAGTTGCTGCCGACCCTATCCCAAGCTCATGGGGCATTGAAGATGACTCCTGAAGTCACTTCCGATTCACTTCCGGCTGGGGCATTCTAGAGACTTTGCAAGATGTGCGAGTTTTCGAGTTTTGAAGCCCAGCTCCTTCTGACGGCTCTCGAAGTGCCACCTGGAGCAAAGCTTTGTCCTGCGAAGACATGCCCTCACAATGTCTCGCTCTCCCAGGAAAATTCCGTCGCACCGGCCCAGCTTCGCACCTCGGCCAGGAAAACGGAAACGTCCCTGGCGGGGAAGCCACGAGGCAGCTGGAGGCGAACCTGCGCGAGCGCGGTTTACAGGCTTTCCCATGAGTTGGATTCATGGCTGAAGTTAAGAGGGTCTTGGGAAATCCTGCGTGGAGTATGCAGGGTCACTTTCTGGCTGAACTCCCGTTTCCATCTCTCCATCTGTGTGCACACTTCCAGGCTCGCTACATCTCTATACCCTCTGACTACAAGGGTTACGAGCATGCGGAATCGAAGAATGATGGAAGCGTGCAACGGCAAGCGCTGCTCGGTCTCAACGCAAAACGCAGTCGCAAAAAAAGAATGTTTGCTTCCGGGCTCCTTGAAGGGTTGGAGGCTTTCCTGAAGTGGTCACTCCCGCTTGCCCCTGTGAAGTGCCTTGTGGGTTTCAGCCAGCACAGCAAACCTCCAGCCCCTTTCGCAACAAAGGACGTTTACTTAACAGCGTCGTGAACCAAACTCTTCTGCCGACCTGCACCGAACCAGATGATGGGCAGCCCGTGAAGGCCTTGCACTTCCAACTTGGACACATCAGGGTTCGGGATGGCATGCGCTGTGTGAAGCCCGTGCCATGTCATAGGTCTTGCTTGGGAGATACTACGCCGCGTCGGCAAAGCGGACTCTTGTCTACGATGCGCTCGACAAACACGCCTGTGACCTCACTTCCTGCCCACTCTATTGACATGTTAAAACACATTTTTACTTTAGACTCAGCAAGACCTTTCGTAGAAGGACAGCCTCAGAGGGAGCGCTCCCTCCCGGCCGGGCAGTGCAGGAGACAAGCTGGACCTGTGGGAGGCAGCTGAGATTCAGGTCTGGTAAGGTTGTCTAGTGGTTGCTGACGCTGTCCAAGGCGAACATGCATTTCACTGTCAACCAGTGTCACATGAACCTGCACTTGATCATAGTCCAGGCCTGCAGAGATCTGGCTTGAAGACCCTAATCCCTTCACAAAAACCACAGCCACCTTTGGAGGATGGGTGGGTCAAGGGGCTAAAGGAGAGACCCTGATAAGGGATCTTAGGGGGCTATTTAAGGGCGAGGTTCTATAGGCGAATAAGATTAAGGGTCATGCTAGGGGCCCCCCCCCCACCCAGCCCAAGCTTGAGTATCTTACAGATTTCGGGTCGTCGGCAAAATCATCCACCACGAACAGAATGCTAAACAAATATTTTTTTATTCTTTTTCTGAAAATCAATGACTTTATGCTCAGTGTCTATGATTTTCTTTAGCGCCACCAGGTCGTATTCCTCATAATAAAGCTGTTCTTTTTCGGCATCTACCTTCATCACATCGCTTATGTATTTCCTGACTGCCGACCAAGTGTCATCAACATGAACACTGGGCGAGAAAATGAACATTCTCTCAAATGAACCTCTGTAGATTTTTAATATCAAGTTCTGTATCAATACTGTTTTGCCACCTGTTGAAGAAGCCACGCATAACATGCGCGCGGGTAGTTCAGGCATCATGTCAAACTTGCTGTTTCTATATTTATTCTCGGTATGTCTATCGGTTCTACTTTAGGTATTTCTTCACTCATTACATAATAGGAGAAATATCTTTGACTGTAATGAACAAGTATTTAGAAGCGACTAAGGAGATTGAATGAATTGAGAAGATTGTAATACAAGACACCAAGCTTAAAGATGTTGCACCGCTTCTTTAGAATTGCTTAAGGGAGTTCTTGAGTATTTAAAAAAATCTAAGAAAGGTTTATGAGCGACAATCATAGGGAACCTAACGAAGGTGGCTTCCACTTAAACACGGATGGATTAAACTGTTTGCTTTGCAAATGCAGAAGAAAGACTTTTCACAAAGAAACTAAGATAAACAACGAAGGTAAAACTATCCTTGAAGATAGAAGCAGTTGGAAGATGGGGAGAGGCATAACACCCGATGAATATGACATATTGAAGACTAACTCACAAGATTGAAGGTGTTGATACAGCTACCACTGGGTGGGGATCACGAAAAATCAGAAAAAGTGGAGGAGGATGTTGAAAGGATAGACAAAGATGTAAACATTTTGAAGAATAAATTAAACATAATGGATTAAAATCTAGTTTATAACGACAGGCCATCTTGGCATAAAAAGAAGCCCCCAATGAAAACAGAAGAAGGAAGTGAGCCAATGCCCCCGCGTGCCTAGCAGGTTCTACAGGTTCATAGGCAGACCAAAAGAGTTTGGTAATGACATTAACTCGGAATTAGTTTCGTTAAATCTTAAGGAACCGGTTGGGTGTAGAGCAATCGCGAGAGACTATAAGTCTCTCCCGGTGCAAATTTTCAGAATCTTCATTATGAAAAAATGTTTATAATAATAATACTGCCAGTAAGAGTAGATAAGATACTAGTTGAATTTGAACCATATACTGAACTAGGTAATGCTGTTCCTAGGAAGTGTTATCGTTGTAAGCAAGTCAAAGACATTGATTGTTTCAAGCGTTGCTATTACACCGGCAAGCATTCTTATTGTTATGTTAAACACATTGCGACTTGCTCCGAATGCTTAGATAAGTCTGTCAAATAAACTACGATCCAGAAAATCTTAAGAAATTAATATATATAAATATATACATATATATATATATTAACAGGGAAATGTTCAATCAAAAAGAACAGGATGCAATATCAAATAACTTCTTGGATATTGTCAAGGTTCACGACTACTTCAGGGAACTCAAGGAAGAGCGACGGAATTGTAAATGCACAGATTGTAAAAAACACGAACGCTATTCCACTCTATACGAACTGCCACTACCAGAAAATGTTGTTAATAATATCTACGGCTTTGCTTTTTTTTGCCGTGATTGTCAAAAAAAGCCAATTCAACGAAGAAAGGATAGAGGGAATTCTCAGACGCAATATACTACACGAATATGATGTACATAGACGTATTTTCAAAATTAAACATAACTTTCCCAACTACGACTGGGTTAAAAACAGGCTGTTCAAGAAGTTGTCAAAAAGAAGATATCAATGTCTCAGATGGGTACATGAGGATTGGATGAGTATTAAAAATATTAATACTCGTAGTAAGATAAACGATTTTGGTCATGACCCAGACAAATTTATTAGGGACTTTAATAAAATTGTTAGAACTCTTATGAATAAACCGGAGTTTGTCTTCATGGATTAAACAACCTAGCCAGCATAGTTATAGTGTAATTATAATACATAAGCAGTTATATATTATAATTACAGCATAGTTACAACATTCTTGGAGAATCCGAGAAGATTGAGCTTTGATACAACCCTTCACCCTAAGCCCTGAACCAAATTCTACAAGAAACTATTGGCACCTAGGTAGATAGGAGTATTGGGAATAAAAAAATAACTTAAGATAGATATTTAGGTTGGTGGGGGCGGGGGTAGCATTTGTTATGAGGTGGGCTTTGCCTATTTTCGGGCAGTGAGATCAGGCTGTGGATCAAGGGTTGCTGCTGGGGGGGAAGTCGGCTGGTTTTGATGGAAAAGGTTGTGGAACAGTGCTTTTGGGATGCAGTTCTTAAAGGGCTGGAGAAGAAGGTGGCAAAATCTGTTGAGTTTTTGAGGGGAAAATGGTGCGATTTTTGGGGGTGAGGGCTGTTGGTGGTGCTCGTTGAAAAATGGGACGCTGAAGATTTGGACGCTTGCAAGTGGTTGGCTGGTTGAAAATGCGAAAAAGGTCTGACAAGTTGGAAAAATGGTGGAAAATTGATGGTATGCTCGTTGAGAAAATATTTGGTGATTCGGGGATGTGGGGGATGAAGTGGTATGCTGTTGGAGAAAGCGGTTGGGAAAAATGAATGGAAAATTGGATTTTGGTGTGTGGGGGGGGGGTCTATGTGCGGTGCCAATAGCCTTAATAGGCAAGGTATCATCTACAACCAAACCCACAAAGCCCAATCTCAACAATCCCAAAGAAGCTGCAACCCTCGGGGCGCCTTCGGGAGCTCTACATCTTTGGAGCTCCTTTGAAGCCCATGGTCCCGCGTTGGGCGTGAAGGGTTCAAGTACTCCAGCGTCTCGGAAGGGCTAACCCCACAAGCCGCAGTCCTCGTCCCTGTCTTGGCAACTTCTGCTCGGGCCTATCACGAGGATGCAAACACCAAGTGGACCAAAGCGGACCAAAGCGGACAAAGCGGACAAAAAGCCACAGAGGGATTCGCGCCTTGGATGGCGGCTTCAGCAACACCTGGCCCAGACTACGGCGACTAAGGGATGCCCTCTGCTGGACGCTGCTCCCCTCCACGCCAGGAGCACCACCACGGCAGTCATGTTGTCACCCCCCAAGCCATGTGTTTCGCGAAGATCAGGCGAAACCTAAGACTGCCCAGACTGCCCCCCGCCAGTTGAAACCGGCAGTTGAAACAAGCAGACCGTCCAGCCCTGTGTCACACATCGAGGCTGCGACACAGTCGTCCAGGAGGGCCTCTACCGCCAGTTCAAGGGCCTCAGCGAAAAGACAGTGCCTGCATTGACTAAGTCGTATCGGCAAAACTGCGTCAACAGCTTCAACACATGTTAATGCTTCAGAGAGTTTGTCGAGGGCTTGGCACGGTCTTCGGCGGCGTCTACTGGTGGAAGGCGCTGACGAAGGAAGTCCACTGCCTGACCCAATCCGATCAAATCTTGCAGGCCTGGCGCCGTCGACTAGGGCCTTGTCTTCTACTGAGTCGAGTCAACTAGGCTGCAGTACAACTTTCTAAAGCCAGGAAACACGAAGATATCGAGAAGATTGAGAGCAGGCAGGTCCAAGGAGGTCCAGACTTCCTCTGGAGGTGGAAGCCAGGAGCGTCCAGTGCCAAAACGGCTCTGGCCTGTTGATTGGTCTTTACGTCCCATACGCCATCGCAGCAGATGACCAGAAACCTGGCAGGCTCAGCTTTGAACATTCTGCGCTTCCTGCAAACGACATGCCGGGCGATCTCATCATTCTCCAAGTCGCGATCCTAGGAAACAGGAAACACAAGCTTTGCCGCGGGGCGGGCCGCAAACTTGACTGCAGCCAAGCCTGGGTTCTGTGTCCTTGCTGCAGACAAAGCGCTCGGAAAGTGACATCGGGAGTGGAGCATATGATCTGTTCGTCTGGGCGGCGAGTATGGTCCTGTCCCAGGCTTAGCAGAGACAGCAAAATAGTCGCAGAAAGGGGCCAAAGGGCTAGCAGGTTCGCAAGCAAAACAACAGCTATAACTCGCACCAAGGCTTAGAGTTTCCCTGGAAAACGGCTTGCGGTCACTACCAGTCCTTCTTGTACTCCAGATCGCCCAGCGCACGTGAAAGATTCAGGTTGCCGTTGACCCTGTGCTGTCCGGCCCTGAGAATGAATGGAAAGTTGAAAGTTGACATCACTGAATCCGAACGAATGCAAGCTGTCAGTACATCGAGAAAGGTTGCAGCACTGAGCCATGAAGGAACCCGCAGCCCGAGCACTGTTTGGGGAACAACTTGTGGGGAACGACTTTCTCACATCTACCACTTCAGAGATGCACCTGTGACTCTTCAACAGCCTCTTCTTCAATCCTGGAAATCGTAACTTAAGCAGCTCAGTGAGATATGGAACAGCACTCCGAATTGCTCTTGGTCCCGTGCCCACAGCTCTCCACCCAGCCACCCGCTGCCTGCCAAGCGAGTGTTGTCAACAGTGTGTGAAGCACCTGCTTGATCTGCTTGGTTTGGGCCTGGATCCGGCGCTTCTCCCTGGCATCATTCGGCTTGTGGTCCTTTAAACATGAGGTAAGGTTTGAGAGCAAGTCAACCTCAGGTCTGCAACTTTAAATCTCCGCTCTGCGTCCTCAAGCGGAGCAAAAAGCGCTACGAAAACATCTGCTGCGTCTCTGACTGCCTTTTCAAACTCACCCCTCCTCGCTTAGAGGAATCGCCTTGCCGCCGCGGCAAAGCACCGCGCGACTGCACAGCCAGGTGCACATGAATCATCCACGCATCCACGCGCTACATCTACCTGGACATGCGCCCTCTTCTCTGATCCCTCAGTCGAGCCGGAACCGTGCTTCCTTTACAGCACCATGATCGGCGCCATGCCTGTCCCCGGCATTCGCGGTGACGATCTGCGTGTCGGTGATGCAGCAAACACACGCTGTGCAGCCTGGCTTCAAATCTTAGAGTGGAACACCGCAAGGTAGACCAACATCAGCCCAATCTTGTGTACCTTGCAAGCCTTTGCGTGTTTCTCGAGGTCTTACAACACGAGTTCTCTTGATCTGCTTCGATGCTCTCTGGATCGGATTGGCACGGGCCTGCATTGTGCGCGTCAGCCGTTCGCGGGGCCGGCACCATGCCCTGCAAGCAAAGGCTATGGCTCCAGCTGATACTGGCATCGGCTGATGTTGAAACTGATTCTGACTTGGAAACTTACAAAGCGAAGGCGTTGTTTCCAGCTCTCTGAAATTCTTTCCATCCCTGTACCCTTCCCTGCCAGCCCTCCAACTTGACGCGGAGACCGACTGACACGCTTGCACTTGGCTACGGCTTTCCTTGCGCTGGGCTTCGCAAGGCTTTGAGGGCCCCGCTCCACCCTGCGAGAACCCCGGGTTCGTGAGCGCCAGGACCTCTGCAGCATAGTGACCTCGGGCACCAAGAAGAAAAATCCAACTCCACCATGAACCAGGATTGAAAACCAACGATTCGTGCGGGGTTGTCAGCTACTAATTCTCTGAAGTGAGCACACTTGCGATTCTTCCTGTTTGCTCATAACTTCTGACCTTGAATGAATCTGGAGAGTCGCCGCGAACCCACGGACAGTGGACACCAAGCGGCCACTTCGCAGCATATCATCGATCTTGTGGAAGGCCCCTGCATGGTGCGCAAAAAGCAGTGCGCCGCCAGAAGCCGCACAAGAATTGGCCCTCCTTCGCAGGCCTGTCAGCGCCTCCTCCATCTGATCCTGCTTGTTTGGGCCCTCTTCAACTCGAAACTTGGCCAACTCCTGCAGGCGCAAATAAGGCTGAATACTGACACAGACCGAACCGCTGATGAAACATGCAGGCATGACTCACTTGTGAGACCCTTCGCTCCTGTGGAAGATGGCTGCTGCTAAATCTGGCCACCTGCACTGAGATGTCATAGAGTTGCAGGTCACAAGGATCAAGGATGTAGGTGAGGCCTGATGCCATTTCATCGGGTCATCGGGGTTGGGGGAAATCGAAGAGGCTGCTCACCTGCGCTCCGCCGTGTCCGTCAAGCACTCCGAACATGGCGGTCTGCGTCCAGGGGGCCTAGGTGCATCGAGAGCCAGCATTGTGCAGGATTGAAATCATCAGCACAAGCTGCTGTAGCTGGCTCTGCAGTTCAGTGACCAAGCGTGCAATGATTAAGCGCTACTCCGCTCCGGGCTGCTTCCACCAAGGCTCCGCTGCGCTGGCACGCCGAGGCAGCACGGCAGGCCTTCTCCGCAACTCTCAAGATTGGCTTTCAGAGGGGGCTGTATGGGGCTGTTGCTCGGAGATGCTTATTGGGGTTGCTTCAAGACACGAACCCGCACAAAACTGTCGTTATCCCATGCCAGCTGCGGCTGCTTTCATGGAACTCCCTAGGTTCATCGGACAGCTGTCTAGTTACAACTCTTCATGCCCAAGTCCAAGTTGAAGTCACAGCCCAGGGCCCGTGCGAGGTGATATGTGCATCTTCCATGGACACCCGCCAGCCCTGCCTGAACATTCTGCATGAAACTCACAATGCACTGCTGCCGTTCTTGGCGACATGCACAGCTTGCAGTTTGAGAAAGAATTTACGACCGGCTTCTCACTTAAACCCATTTCTCTGGCAAGCGGCATGGCGCTTGCTGCCCATGAGAGGCCTTACCGGAGCAGGAACACCGCAACTCGATTTCTAATTAGCCGAGCAAGTCTCTTGTCCGGTAGCCTGGCAGACGCCGGCAACTACCGGGGCTCACAACGACCATGCTCACCCTCGTTCACCAAAACTTCTCACACTGTTCGAGATGCTTTCAGAATGCACACAGGACCACGCGGGGATTGAAAGCTTAAGCTGATTCACTCGCTGCAGAACGGATTCGCGCACTGAAACGCGGATTCGTGCACCGCGACGTGGGATTCGCGCCCACTCGGGATTGGTGTAGGCAGCACTCGCGCTCTGCACTGACACGCCGGATTCGCGCACCGACCGATTCGCGCGACTTTGGCGCACAGAGGATTTGCGAAATGTTGCGACTGAAGACTATAATCCGTGAACCATGAAAGCCATCAGCCCTCAAAACAAAGATTGTTGCGCAATACACCTAAACCGCCCTCCCCTAAGAACCCTAAAGCCTAAAACGCGTTGATCCTAAAACCCCTCAACCTTAAAATTCATAGGTCATCAGCTCCCAACCCTGAAACTCCACATAACCCTTCCAAAACCCTAAGAACCCTAAACCCTAAAGCCGAGTAGCCCAAAAGAACGCTCAACCCCACAACCCCACAACCTTGAAACCAAAAACACCAAACCCTGAACACAATACCTAATGCCTGGAGTCCTAGCCTAATTCCAAAAACAACCTAAGCCATAAAAGCCGAAAATGCCTCAAACTCTAAACCCTAAACCCCAAAAAACCTACCTAAAGCCGAAAACCGGTGAACCATACCATCAGCCCTCAAAGCAATGATTGTTGCGCAGTCCCCCTAAACCCTGAAGAAAAAAAACCTTAACCCTAAAAGCTGTTGATCCTAAAAACCCTCGGTACCAAGGGAAAAACTAAAGCCTACAAACCCTTCACCGTGAAACCTTCAGCCCTCAAAACAAAAATTTGTGCGCCATGCCCCGAAACCCTAACGCCTCTTTGTGCGCGATGAGCAATGAGCAGTCCAAGACTAAAGGGAAAGAAAGACAGAGGCGAAACGTCGGGGAGGCAAAGCACGCATAAACACCCTCAGACCTGAAAACCATAACCTGCCAAGTCGAGAGGTTACCTCGGGTGGTAAGGCCAGGGAGGGGGAGACAAGTCGCCAGTGCTTGAATCGTCGGAACTCGTGCTTGAACCACGCGTGCTTGAAGCAGGATTTGTACGTGCTTGAATCACCAGCGCCGGAATCGTGAGTGCTTGAGAAAAGTTTCCATGCTTGAATCGCGGCCAGTGGGAGGATGAAGTGAGGCGCAAACGGCCCGAAACATCCCAAACCCACCCGACACTTGACTGTTGCAACCCTGCAAAACTAGAAGCAGCGTGGAGCATGGTGACCCAGCTGAGACAGATGTGTGATACGAGCAACTGAAACCTGGTTGCTTCCAAGCAGCGGAGTGGTCCACAGTCAACACCGCTTTCGGAGCTCTTGCGGGTAACAGGCTTGTCCTGAGCTGCAGAGCCACAAACTCCCCGCACCCGCACGACCCTTTTCGGGTGAGTCTCCCCCCCCCCCGGACCTGCTTCCGTCTTCAGCTGCAGAGCTTCAGCATTCGAGAGACAGGGGAAGGGGAAGCTCAGGCAGTTCCAGGAAGTGGCTCTCTCTGCCCCATACACAACAAGAGTTTGGACAAGGGTATGTTTCTTCTGCTCTCTCCTGAAGTTCTCAGTTCGGCTTCCTCTGGGGCGCAGACGAGAACTCCGCCCATGGCTTCTGACGTCAATGCCCCCGGCCGGCAGGGTTACGTTTACCTTGTACTGGACATTGACTTAGGAATATACTCTGTTGCATGGTGAGTATGAGAGAAGATGGATAGGACTGGCGTGTCCATGCTAGAAGGAGACATTGGACGAATGACAGCGTTAACTGTTGACATGGAACACTGTGTGGGTGTGAAACTTGATCGCTATGATTGAGGGTTGGGTGGGCTCAGAGGTGGTGAGTGGACTGGGTTCCTTCCCTACCCCCTGACATCCAGATCCTTGAGTCTGAAGCAGCTGCACACCAGCAGTGCTACACTGCCTTGCATCTGGTATCTGGCAATGTGATCATTGAGAGGCAGGGCTCCAATGCACACCAACTTGCACTATGTATGGCCGAGACGAATACATCGACATGTTGACAGCACAAGGCAGTATGCAATCCAGTGCGTTCAAGACGATTGCATTTCTCATCTTGCAGCTGTCACCGCATCTGCCACGACCGAGCCAGACTCGCGGCCCTTCAGCGAACGCTTCGGCATGTTGCACCGGTCCGCTGCAGCTGGGTCAACAAATGGACGGTGAAAAGTACTGCAATCCTTCCGCAATCTGCTGGGCGACCCTACCCTTGAACTCAGACGGAGTCCTGTGAGAGATGTGCTTCGAACATCTAAATAACTCCTGGGAGTCGCAGAAGGCTCCACACATCTTGAAACCAAACAGCAAGGTGCATGCGGAGCATCGCGATCACTGTGGCTGGCACACCCTGCCCGCAGCAGATAAGCCGAATCGGGCATCTTATGCACGGCTCCCCTGCTGCAAAATTGACAGCTTCCGTAGGTAGACAAACTGCACAGATACCTAGCAGTGCCTACGCACAAGATGGCGAGCCAACTCTCTTCCTGCTGAGATTCGGAGCCCGAAACCTAGCATACCCTAACATTAACACGGAGCCGCGCAAAACAAAGCCACACGGAGCGAATCAAACTGCAAGAGCGGTGCCGTTGCGCTACCGATCTCGGTTCATAATGTGACAAGCATTGACAAGCGTTCGGCGTTCGGGCTACACATGTCCAGACAGAAACTCCTTGCTTGGAGATTTCTCCTTAATTCACCTCACAAAATCCAACCTCCGTTCACTTCCATCTCTTCGCTGGTTCATGCTGGTGATCAAGGTCAACGAGGAGGATTATGTGAGCATCTGCGGATGTGAAACGAGCTTGTTGCCAGATTGGTGAACCCCTCAATCACGGAGCACGCGACCTGGGCTCAAACACTCGTCCACCAAGCTACCATGGCGCCCGTCTTGGGTACAAAATCAAAGCCGAGGGTGGTCCTGCCTCATATCGCGCGGACTGCTGCGCCGGCGCCGGCAATGCGGACCTGGGTACGGCATTTCCGCAGATTGTACTCAGAGCCCGCGCGTCCGGCAAATCTCTCAAAACTCAAATCATCACCTCGGCCAAGGTCCGAGCCGGGCGCAACGCGCTTTGGATGCTGTGGACAGTCGCTGCTCCTGGTGACGACCCACGTCGCATGTCTCCCCGTATCCCCTGTGGCAGGGGGAAGCGCTTTGGCCCAGCATTGGCTACGCCCATCCGCACCTCCAGAAATTGCCCGGACACTTTGGCTCACGGGGCCTCAGCTCAGTGGTGACATGAACCAAGCGAGGTCACTTCAGATGCCTACCTCGGTGCCACGTACCCACCTCCCAGTCCTCCCAATCCATTCCATGAACCTAACAACAGCATACAACAGCTTGCACATGTGTCCAAGTCGGCGGCTGAGACTGCGAGCGAGCATTGGCGAGCCCAGTTGCGGAGAGCCCGGCTGAGCGCAAGCTTCAGTTTAGCTTCGGTTCTTGATGTGGCTTCCCAGGAAACTAAGGCAACTAAGGACAAATGGTACTTGTGTACCACCACTCATAATTTATCTTGATAGACATTTCTGGGAATAATTCTATCTTGATAGATATTTCTGGGACTGATGGGGAATGGACAAGGGCTTCTGCAGACCATGTCGGCGAAGAGTTGCCATGCCCGGGAAGTGCAAACAAGCTCTAGCCGGCTAGGGATTAGATCAACGTACGAGGCTACGGAGTCGCATCAAAGGCAAGTCACGGCAGGATAACTTGACAGCAAGGCGTTCTGTCTGTGAAGGCAACCTAGCATAACCCAACAAACCTGGGGCCCAAGCTGCTCGCACAGGGCTGGCCGCGTACACAGGCCGGACTGAAGCCGTAAGCCTCGGGACTCCCCAATGCCACGCTGTGAACAGACCCCACAAGATTTGACGAGCTTACAGCGGAGTAGCAGGAGCCTGTTCTAAACATCTGAGCCCCTGGCTGCTTGTTGCCTCAGCCGTCGTAGAGTGCACATTTCACAGCAACAACCTATCATAACCTATCTACAATGCACTTGCCCGGAGTGAGTGCAAATAGTTTCCGGCGGCGCGTTTGCCGGTGTGGGGTTGTTAGACGTTAGCTCAGCTCCTCTCCTCACCCACCTGGAGGATAGACACAGAATCCCGCGATTGAGTTGCCCGCCCCAGTGAAGCCCTCGGAGAACTCCACGGAGCATCCTATCCCTGGAGTGCCCAACCCAAGATCTCCACACCGCATCACAGCATCCCGGGAGTGCCCAATCCCACATGATCCCTATACTGCGCCCATCAGGGTGGGCATGTCCCAAGAAACGAAAGCTATATGGCGTATTCCATTGAAATTGGGCTGTATAAGCTTCAGACATCGTGCAGGAATCGTGGCTCGCCCGAAGCAAAATCAGATGCCGAAGCATGTCACACTAGGGATGTAAGCACAATGAAGTCAGAGAGGTAATCAACAAAATCGCCTCAGGTCAGAAATCGCAAAAGCACCCAAAAGACAACAAGAAACCTAAGTGTCAGTGGCTCCCGAAAGGGCCCCTGCTTCCCCTTGTAATCTCCCCCTCTTCTTGCACCCCACGCCTCCTCCCCTTTTGCTAAGTTGTCGGCTTTTTTCAATTGGAGAACTGAGTTATTCGTGCAGGAAAGGCCGTTTTTCGACACGAGGGCCCGCTTTGACTCTACGGCCCTAAACCCCAAAAGCCTTTACGTCCCGGGCCGGGCCGAGACGAGCGACGCGCAGCGAAGAATCATCCCCCGAGGCCGGCCCAGTCCTGACACGCTCGGACGCTGCACCGCCCCGGTTTTCGCCCATGGCCGTCCCGACCAATGCACACCAAATTGATCGTTTTCCCCAGCACCCTCCCAGCACCCTCTCACCCCAACCCACCACTTGTCGATGCCCTACATCTCTAAAAATCAAAACAGTTGAAACACACCCACTGTACCAAACATGCCATATGCCGCAGCCTGGCCCTCCGGGGCGGGTCGTTCATCGAAAAAAGTGTGGTTCCTATTGAATCAAATGAAACTAGGCCGATGCAGCATGTTTCCTGTACAAAAATGGGTTGAACAAAACTGCTTGGCTTTGGCTTTGGTTTTGTTTCGGCAGTGGGCAAGTTAGGCGCAGCTCCCCTCACCGGCTTGCTGAAGGTGCGCCTCAAGGCGGCACGCTACTGAGTACTTGAGACACCTTTTTGTTCTTTGATAATCTTGTCTGCATCAGATACTGATGGAGGGCACTCGACCTCCTTGAACTATGTAGCTTGTGCTGCGTTGATGCTATCCTTGTCATGGGCCCAACTAATTAATGTTGGACTCGGTTTGGCTACAGGGGCCGCTATTAAGCTTTTTTCCGGGAAACTTCTAGGGGACGCCCCCATTGATGAGGGTGGTCCGCAATTATGCGAAGTGCGCGGGCCAGGGATGAAGGGCGGGGGGCCGGGGAGCCAAAAACTAAAAGTCGTTTTAACAAAGAAGCTCCGGAATTTTCTGGTGTCCGGTTTTATTTCAATTCCTTTCAAAATCTCATTGCGAAACAGGCCCCCAAACAATTTTTCAAGGGAGTAGCCCACGAGCTGCCCTGATTCGCATTTAGGAAATGTTTCGGTTACCCGCAGTAATCCACAGCCCCCCTGGCCAGGGAGCTACAAAGCCTGGAAAGCTTAGACCTTCAAGCTTCAAGGCTTCCCCTCAACCCTCGATCCGTAGCCGCCCTACCCCCAGCCCCCGTCCCAGCCTATCGCAGCATTAGTCATACCACTGTTTCGTCTTCAGGGCGTGCCAGGCCCCTGTAGGAACTAGGTGATCGCCCCATTGAGTCTAAAGGACTTACCACATCCTCGCACCCGAGTTACAACCTCTGCTTATCCTCCTTGCTACGCTTTGACATCCTTCCGGAAATTGAGGGTTTAGGGGGCTGAGGCGCGAATCAGAAAACGTGAACCGGAAAACGCAGAGCAGCGAATCGGAAACACCCCGCGCTGAATCGGAAAACGCCAGGCACGAATCGGAGACTGTGCGGCGCTGAATCGCAAAACGGGGGCGGCTGAATCAGAAAAGGAAGCTCGATGCCGCAGAAGCCACGCCATGTCTAAAAGATGAAACTAGAAAGTTTGGTCATTAGATCGCGCCGATCGCGCCGGAAAGACCAAATCAGAAAACAGACTAAATCAGAAAACACGGAAAGCTCCAAATCAGCACCGTGGAAGCTCGAAACAGACCCTGCAGGAAGCCACGCCCACCCTAAAACCCTAAGCCCTAAACCCGAAAAAACCCACAAGCCTAAAGCACCCTATACCCTAAACCCTAACAAAACCCTAAACCCTAAACCCTAAAAAACCCGAAACCCCAAACCCTGAAAACCCCTAAACCCTAAACCCTAAACCCTAAACCCTAAACCCTAAAAAACCCTAAACCCTAAAAAACCCTAAACCCTAAAAAACCCTAAACCCTAAACCCTGAAAACCCGTAAACCCTCAACCCTAAAGACCTACACCCGAAGCCCTAAATAACCCTGAACCCTAAACCATAAAAAACCCTCAGCCCCAAACCCAAAAAACCCTAAACCCTAAACCTGAAAACCCCTAAGCCCTATAAACCCCAAAGCCCTTAACCCTAAAAATCATTTACATAAGAGTCTAATCGATAAGGCATAGGGATCTATGGCTTTCCGGATAGGGTCTATTCTGAGGGTAGTAGGGGCCTATGGAAAATGGATAGGGGTCTATGCGGCATAGGGGCGTAGTGTGGGTAGGGATAGGGTCTGTGCATAGGGGTCTATGGAAAAATGGAAGAACCCCTGTGTATAGGGGTCTATAGGAAAGTCGGCAGGGCCTATGCATAGGGGGGTCTGGCATGCAGTAGGTTGACGGCATAGCTACCTAACTAAAGACCCATAGGGTCTATATAGGGGTCTATCGACGCCTACGACAAACAGATACTTGCCAGACCTATCTTCGAGTAAGAGTTCGACAAGTAAACCCTACAAACCACAAAACCTAAAACCCCCTGAGCCCCAAACTGCCCTAAACTCTAAAAAACCGAAAACTCTAAACGCCCCTAACAACACCCTAGAACCTAAAGGCCCCTAAACCCTAAACCCGAAACCCTAAACCCTAAAACCCTTGACAACCCCTGAGCCCTAAACCCATCAAAACCCTACACCCTAAAACTCCTAAAGTCTGAACCAAAAAAACCTAAACCCTAAAAACCCCAAGCGGCAAGCGCTGAAAACCCATAAACCCTAAACCCTAAAACGCCCTAAACCCTCAAAACCCTTAAGCCCATACCCTAAACCCCAAAGAACCCTAAATCCTAAACTACAAAAAACCCTGAGCCCTAAACCCTAAAAGCCCCTAACCCCTAAACCCTATAAACCATACAAACCCCAACGCCATAAATCTTGAAACCATTTACATAAGAATATAGATCGAGAATATAGATCGATAAGGCTAAGGGTCTATGGCTTTCCAGATAGGGTGGGTCTATTCTGAGGGTTCGTAGGGGCCTACGGTTTCGCGTCGCACTTTTGTCGGACAAGCTTCAGAGCTTTAACGGTTTCAGGCTAAGGGTTGGAGGGAAAGCAGATCTACGACTGTGAACATAGTTTTCGAAGGCGCCTAGCACGCCCCATGTTGGAGCCTCGCGTTTTCATATTCAGCCCTGCCCTGCGTCAAGTTGGCTCCCGGTCTCTTAAATACACCTAGTACGGGTCAGGTCTGAGCCTCGTGTTCCCTGATTCGGCCCCCCCGGCGACCATCTGGCTCCAGGTGGTTTGGCGATTGCAGCCTGGGGTTCTCCGATTGGAGCCTGCCCGTTTTCGGACTCACGTTGGGTTGATTGGGGCCCCCGTTTTTCGATTCACGCTCCACTCGGTGGAAAACACCCCGCGCTGAATCGGAAAACGCCAGGCACGAATCGGAGACTGTGCGGCGCTGAATCGCAAAACGGGGGCGGCTGAATCAGAAAAGGAAGCTCGATGCCGCAGAAGCCACGCCATGTCTAAAAGATGAAACTAGAAAGTTTGGTCATTAGATCGCGCCGATCGCGCCGGAAAGACCAAATCAGAAAACAGACTAAATCAGAAAACACGGAAAGCTCCAAATCAGCACCGTGGAAGCTCGAAACAGACCCTGCAGGAAGCCACGCCACCCTAAAACCCTAAGCCCTAAACCCGAAAAAACCCACAAGCCTAAAGCACCCTATACCCTAAACCCAAACAAAACCCTAAACCCTAAACCCTAAAAAACCCGAAACCCCAAACCCTGAAAACCCCTAAACCCTAAACCCTAAACCCTAAACCCTAAAAAACCCTAAACCCTAAAAAAACCTAAACCCTAAAAAACC